ACGATGTTTTTGCAAGGGGTCCTAGGCGGTTTGCACCTTTTCGGGCCCTTCGAACCGGACCCGAAGATTTTCTTGGCGCAAGTCCTATGGGATTTGGCCACTCTCAGGTCGACCGGTAAACTTTTCGGGTCGTCGCATGACCGAACTCGAAAGCCTTTTTTCGAGAAGTCCGATGCCGCTTGCACATTTTCGAGTCAGCACACCGTTTGGGATTTTTGGGAAGGGGAACCCGATCCCGCGACCCCGGGCGGTGGTTAGGCTCTGCCCTTGCATTGCGCTGGGCTCCTCCGGCCAAACGGGGCGCTGGGCTGGCCGTCGGCGCGCCGACTCTGCCCTCGCGACATCGCCCCCGCCCGCCATCGGGCCCCGCGAGTCTTATCCCGCGCGCGCCACCCCAGATGGCCGCGGCGAGCACGGTGGCGAAATTTTGACAAAACAATCGGCGCAGTGGCATTTTCAAGCGAAGCCCCCCTGCAAACAAATCACGCAACAAGCAACGCTGTAATCATGCAGGCGCTGGGACGCCGACTGCGTGCACTACCATTGGCACCTGGATGAACCCACCGCAGAACACATGACCTGCACGGCCCTTGCGTTCGAATGCCAGTGGCATTTTCAAGCGAAGCCCCCCTGTTAACAAAAATCACGCAACAAGCAATACTGTAATCATGCAGGCGCTGGGGCGCCGAGTCCGTGCACTACAATTGGGATCTTGATGAAACCACCGCAAAACGCATGAACTGCACGGTCCTTGCGTTCGAATGCCCATCGGCGCTCCGGAAGTATATTCCGATGTGAAAGGCACAGCGCCGCGCGAATGCAGCGCAAAAGCAATGCTGGAAGGGCGCGGCAACGCATGCCCCCTGGGCAGGCGAGAGCAGCCGCGCGCCCGCGCGAACCCCGATCCTGCGCGGGGCGCGTTCCCGTTGACAATGGCTCACCCGGGAAACCGTTCCTTGCGCAGGAAATCCTGAGCGGTCCGCCCACCGGCGGCCCCCTCGGACGAGGCCCGGAACCACCGAGAAACCGATTTTGATCGGAAGTTCTTGGCGGTTTGCCCATGTTCGGATTCTTCGGAGTGGGCCCGAAGACCTCGAAGACGATGTTTTCGCAAGGAGACCTAAGCGGTTTGCGCATTTTCGGGCCCTTCGAACTGGACCCAAAGTTTTTATTGGCACAAGTCCTTTGGGATTTGGCCACTTTCAGGTCGGCCGGTAAACTTTTCGGGTCGTCGTATGACCGAACCCGAAAGCCTTTCTCGAGGAAGTCCGATGCCGTTTTGCTCATTTTCGGGTCGCCGCACCGTCTGGGATTTCAAATTTTAAACTGGGAAAAGGAACCCGATCCGGCGACCCCGGGCGGGGGTTCGGCTCTGCCCTTGCATTGCACTGGGCTCCTCCGGCCAAGCGGGGTGCCGGGCTGCCCATCGGCGCGCCGCCTCTGCCCTCGCGACATCGCCCCCGTCCGCCCCCGGGCTCCGCGAGTCTTATCCCGCGCGCGCCACCCCAGATGGCCGCCACGAGCACGGTGACGTTTTTTTTTTTTTTTTTTTTTTTTTTTTTTTTTTTTTTTTTTTTTTTTTTTTTTTTTTTTTTTTTTTTTTTTTTTTTTTTTTTTTTTTTTCATTTTTTTCATATATATATATATATATATATAAAAAAATATATAAATATATATGTGTGCTTGTTTTTTGTATTATTTATTTTTTATTTAGATCGGCGCAGTGGTATTTTCAAGCGAAGCCCCCCTGCTAAAAAATCACGCAACATGCAATACTGTAATCATGCAGGCGCTGGGGCGCCGACTGCATGCACTACAGTTGGGATCTGGATGAAACCACCGCAAAACACATGACCTGCACGGTCCTTGCGTTCGGATGCCCCTGGCATTTTCAAGCGAAGCCCCCCTGCTAAAAAATCGCGCAACAAGCAATACTGTAATCATGCAGGCGCTGGGGCGCCGAGCGCATGCACTACAAGTGGGATCTGGATGAAACCACCGCAAAACGCATGACCTGCGCGGTCCTTGCGTTCGAATGCCCATCGGCGCTCCGCAAGATCATTCCGATGTGAAACGCACGGCGCCGCGCGAATGCAGCGCAAAAGCTATCCTGGAAGGGCGCGGCAATGCATGCCCCCTGGGCAGGCGAGAGCAGCCGCGCGCCCGTGCGAACCTCGATCCTGCGCGGGGCGCGTTTCCGTTGACAATGGCTCACCCGGGAAACCGTTTCTTGCGCGGGAAATCCCGAGCGGCCCGCCCACCCGCGGCCCGCGCGCTGCACGAGCCCAAGCAAAGCCTAGGCAGACCCCGGAGGGCCACCCCCCGCCGGAGCGGGGAGAATAATATGGGCAACTCTCTCCGTGAGGTTGCAGAGAGAGGCTGCTGAGAGTACAATATCAAACAGAGATTGAGCGTGAGGCTGCGGCAGCAGGCGCTGAAGGCGCCTCCTGTCCAATTCTCCTACGCGCTGGGATAGTGCTTGCGATTATGTGTGAAAGCTAAAAGTTGGGATGTGAGAGAACTGAACGAATTTTGAGGCGCTTGGCCTGTCCTTCCTCGGCCCTGGACGCTGTGGCCCTGAGCCCCTGTGCCGAGGGTAACCGGAGATCTTGGAAGCACCCAAGCTCGCGCTCGCACCCCCTGCAACTGACAAGCCTGCAGGAACCAGGCGAACGCCGGCACGCGCCCACACCCAAGAGAAGAAAACAACCAGCACTACTCCATGCCTGTTCTCCGGCCAAGGAGACTAGCAATCATGAAATCTTCGAGCTTGCGCCCAATCGACTCAAGGTAGAGACTCTGGCCCACTCGCGCCCGGCGCGCTACGGGATGCCAAAGTACAGGTGATAGAACTCAGGCCCAGGGATCACGGAGGCGCGCCAGCTCCATCAGGCACAACCCTTCATCTGACAATCGTGTCGTAGCCGGCCCAATCCAGCAACTTGAATGATTTTCCATACAACAAACTGGGAGGGCCTCGCATGTGCGAGGCCCGTATGCGGAAGAATTTGTGTCATGCAGGCGCGCGCAATCTGGGGCGTGGTGGTTGTACAGCACCGGGGGCTACATGCGGCGCCGGCCATGTAAAAAGGTTCACGTGACCACTCGCCGGCAAACCCTCGCCTCGCTTGGCTGCGGCACCAATGGCGCCGGCCGCAGCGCCAGGCCCCCTTCCGCGGGGCCCACCGGCGGCCCCTTCGGACGAGGCCCGGAACCACCGAGAAACCGTTTTTTGATCGGAAGTTCTTGGCGTTTTGCCCATGTTCGGTTTCTTCGGAATGGGCCCGAAGACCTCGAGAACGACGTTTTTGCAAGGAGACCGAGGCGGTTTGCACCTTTTCGGGTCGTTCGAACCGAACCCGAAGTTTTTCTTGGCACAAGTCCTATGGGATTTGGCCACTCTCAGGTCGGCCGGTAAACTTTTCGGGTCGTCGCATGACCGAACCCGAAAGCCTTTCTCGAGGAAGTCCGATGCCGTTTGCTCATTTTCGGGTCAGCACACCGCGTGGGATTTAAACTTTTAGATTGGGAAAGGGGAACCCGATCCCGCGACCCCGGGCGGGGGTTCGGCTCTGCCCTTGCATTGCACTGGGCTCCTCTGGCCAAACGGGGCGCTGGGCTGCCCATCGGCGAGCCGACTGTGCCCTCGCGACATCGCCCACGTCCGCCCTCGGGCCCCGCGAGTCTTATCCCGCGCGCGCCACCCCAGAGTGCCGCGGCGAGCACGGTTGCGACATGAACAAAACAAGCCCCCCTGCAAACAAATCACGCAACAAGCAATACTGTAATCATGCAGGCGCTGGGGCGCCGAGTGCATGCACTACAATTGGGATCTGGATGAAACCACCGCAAAACGCATGACCTGCACGGCCCTTGTGCTCGAGTGCCCCTGGTATTTTCAAGCGAAGCCCCCCTGCTAAAACAAATCGCGCAACAAACAATGCTGTAATCATGCAGGCGCTGGGGCGCCGAGTGCATGCACTACAATTGGGATCTTGATGAAACCACTGCAGAACGCATGACATGCACGGTCCTTGCGTTCGAATGCCCATCGTCGCTCCAGAAGTTCATTCCGATGTGAAAGGCGCGGCGCGGCGCGAATGCAGCGCAAACGCTATGCTGAAAGGGCGCGGCAATGTATGCCCCCTGGACAGGCGAGATCAGCCGCGCGCCCGCGCGAACCTCGATCCTGCGCGGGGCGCGCTCCCCTGACAATGGCTCACCCGGGACACCGGTTCTTGCGCAGGAAATCCTGAGCGGTCCGCCCGCCGACGGCCCCTTCGGCCGAAGCCCGGAACCCTGACAAACCGTTTTTTGATCGGAAGTTCTTGGCGGTTTGCCCATGCTCGGTTTCTTCGGAGCGGGCCTGAAGACCTCGAGAACGATGTTTTTGAAGGAGACCGAGGCGGTTTGCACCTTTTCGGGTCGTTCGAACTGGACCCGAAATTTGTCTTGGCACAAGTCCTACGGGATTTGGCCAATCTCAGGTCGGCCGGTAAACTGTTCGGGTCGTCGCATGACCGAACCCGAAAGCCTTTTTCGAGGAAGTCTGATACCGTTTGCTCATCTTCGGGTCAGCACACCGTTTGGGATTTAAAATTTTTGGGTCGGAATAACGAAGTTATTGCTTGGCACAATTCCGCCCGCGCTGTGAACGACCCCGCGGCTGGCCGCGGGGGCGCCCTCGCTCGGCTGGTCGGCCGCGCGCTGGTCGACCCTCTTCCGCCTCCCGCTCGCGTCGTGTGGTGCAGTGCCGTGCCGTGCTTCCTCCGCCTGGCACTGGGGCGGGATATAAATACCGTGCCGTGTGTCGGGTTTCGGCCCTCCGCCCTCTGGGGGCTTCGCTCGGCCCATAGTGGCTTCCTTGCGGCCCATAGTGGCTTCGTTGCGGCCCATAGCGGCCTGCTGCGTTCACGTGCCCAATGGGGCCCTCTCTTCTGGTCCATAGTGACCACGAGCTGTCGTTGGCACGCTCTCATTCGTCACCATGGCGCGCTGGCATGCAAGCGAGCGGGCTTCAGCTGGCGTGGTTCTCGCTCGTGCCCCGTGGCGCTGTGATTGCGATGGCGATGCTTGCCTTCTTGCAGTCTGACCCTGTTGTGGGCGCGAAGTGGACTGATATCCAGTTCAAGGGCGCCATTGATTGCCTGGCAGCCAATGGGCTGACGATGCCAGAAGAATTGGCCAATCTTCAATTCGGCGATTTGAAGGATGCCGATGGCGCGACGGCGCTGACGAAGGGCGTCCTGCGGCGCGCTCTGGATCGCGCGACGGTGGCGGCAGCCAAGGCGTGTGCGCCGGGTGCCGCGGGGCCTGCGCCGGCTTCGGCGGGTCGTTTCGGTTCGGTTGCTGCAGAATCCTGGGCTCCCGCCGAAGGGAGAGCATGTCGACATCGGCGCTGGCCTGGCCCAGATCAGCTTGAGGGACCTTCCGGAGTCCCTGTGGCCGAGGCTGCCGCGCGGCTTCGCCCCGGCGCGCTGGCGCGTTTCCATCGTTCGCTCAGGTCAGCGAAGACCGATGCGCTGGCCACCGAGGTGCAGCGCGCGAAATCCAGGGGAATCGCGCGCCCGTTCATTTATACTGAGCTCGCGAAGTTCCAGCCGCTTTGCGCGCGCGGCGCGGGCGGCTCTCCCGACGATGACGAGCCCGAGTCGAAAGAGGCGGCCGCGTTGGCCAGAGCGTTCGGACGGGGAACCGCGGCGGAGAGCCAGCCGCTTCTGGCGTGGACGCCATGGCACCAAGCTTACGACGCGTGGAGCGTGGCGGCCGCGGTCACTGATCAGATTTCGTACACGAGCGCCATGGCTCACAAACACGTTGTTCTCCAGGCGAGTCGACATTGGCGCCCGTCCGCTGGTCGCCGAAGTGGGCGCGCTTGCCCAGGTTGCACTGGATGCCCCCCTGCAGGGACGGAAGGCCCAGGTTGCCTTGGTCTACGACCGCCTTGTGCGGAGGACGTGGGCCGAGCGTGCCGCCGCCGGCGCGGCAGGCTTCCAGGCCGCAGCTCCGCGCCATGCTTCGGCGCGTTATTCTCGGGCGCGCGTCGGCGCGCAGGTGAACGTTGCGGCGCTGTCGCTTGACGTCGGGCTGCTCCGCGCGGCGGAAGCGGAATATGATCGGGCTCTTAAGGCCGCGTCGCCGAATCCCTTGTTCGCGTTGCGCCACCGCTGTCGCGCAGGTTGCCGCGCCGGCCGGCAAGGGTGCAGGGAAAAGCGCCGCGGCAGCGCGCGGGCAGAGTGCGAGCGCCGCGAGCGCCGCGGGCGCCGTGGGAGCCGCGGGGGGCGCCGCCGTCACTTCCTGGAAGAACGACCGCGATTCCAGAGCCGACGGGTGGCAGTCCCGATCCTATCGCGGGGATTACAACAAGCGCTCCTGGGATTCGCGAACGGTGTATTCTCCTCAGAAGAAGCCGCGCGCCTGACGCCCGCCGGAGGCACGCGCAGCCCGCGGCGCGCGGCGATGTGCGGGACGCGCGCCGATGAGGACGTGCATCGCGCGCCACGTTGGCATTTGAATAACAACGAATGGGCGCCAACCTCAGCCACCGTCCCGTGGGACCCGCAGGCGCGCGCGCGCGCGCTGGCAGGAGGGCGCCGCGTTGTTGCCGCGTCGTCCAGGGCTTGGGTGCCAGTCAACACTCGCGGTCCGTTCGCGACGCGAGGGCCGCCCGCCCGCTGGGCCAGGAGGCGCGCGAACGCCCCCGGCAGGCTCGAGCGCTCGCGCTCGCAAAGCGCAGGATGCGATGGGGCCCAGTATCGCTGCCACATGGGATTATCAGGCGCTGCGCGTTGTGGCGCGCGACGCTCGCGGGCTCGCGCGCCCGGCAGAATGCTGCCTCGAGTTGCAATGCACGCGGTTGCGCGCTGGCCACTGCCGGCTGCTGTCACCTGCCGTCGCCTGCGTCTGCTGAGGAAGCGCCTAAGCTCGCCTTTCTTGAAGAGGTCCTCTCCCGTTCTCACTCCTTCGAGGACAAAGAGGCCTTTGAAAAGGCCGTGGTGGTGCCCGGCGATGTTTTGGCGGCGATCGATTGGATTGCTGCGCGCTCGGAGCGGCAGGTGTGCCGTGAGCGGCGAGCGACTCTCGAGCGAATTCGGGCCAGGGACGCCGAGCTACGCGCCTCTGGAGCGACGGCGGCCTGGTTCGCGGGCTGCGATGCCCATGTGCGCACAATCGCAGGGTCGATCAACGGCCCTCTTCTCGTCGAACTGCTCGACGAAATCGGGTACGAGGACGCGGCCTGCGTGGAAGTCTTTCGGCGCGGCGCGCCTCTCGTGGGCCCTCTCCCGTGCACGGGGAACGGGCGTCCGGAATCTTTCCCTGTACCGCTCAGCCTGCCGGACTTGGCCGCGGGCGCGGAGCGAGGCAACGCCGCGCTGCTCGGCACGCTCAAGGAGTCTAGCGACTCCGCCGTGATTCTCACCAAAACTATCGCCGAAGCGGAGCTCGGCCGAATGAGCCATCCCGCGCCGCTCAGCGCGGTCGAGCTCGACGGTGCGGTTTTGTCGCCGCGGTTCGGCGTCCGGCAGTCGAGAGAGGACGGGTCCGAGAAGCTGCGGCTCGTAGATGATATGTCGCGCTCTCGTATCAACGCGGCGTCGCAGCCGACGGAGCGTCTCGGCCATGAAGCCATCGACGCTCTGTTTGGCACTTGCAAGGCATTTGTGACGCGCGTGGGCGAAGCGCCCGGGCTCTGGAAGGCGGACATAGACGCCGCGTTCCGGCGCGTGCCGCTGTTGCCGGAACATCGCGCCCTCGCATGGGTCGCGTTCCTCGTGGGCACATGCGTCTACGTGGCTCAGCACTTCGCCGCCCCATTCGGAGCGACTTCCTCCGTTCACAGCTGGGAGCGCATCGGCGCGATGCTGTCAGCGCTGGGCCGCAGGCTCATTTTCGTCCCCGTCCTCAGATATGTGGACGACTTCTTCTGCCCCGAACGTAAGAAAGGGCTGCGCGACGCAATGCGACAGTTCGCCGAACTGGTAAGAATCATTCTGGGCCCGAGCGCTGTGGCCGACGGTAAGCTGCTGTTCGGCAATCCGCTCGGGGTCCTGGGCTTGTCTGTGGCGATTGACGAGCGTGGCCTCGTGTGCTGGCCGCTGCCGGAGAAGCGCGCCCGGTGGCGCGCCGAGATCGCTGCTGCTCTTCAAGAGGGCGCGCTCGAGCGCGGGCGCGCGTCCAAGTTGGCAGGCCGCTTCTGTTGGGCTGCCTCCCACACCTTCGGGCGGTTCGGGCGCGCGCTGCTCCCGCCGTTGTTTGAGCACGCAAGGGCGCGCCATCCTAGTATCCCGGCGCACCTGCGAGTCTGCCTGCAATGGTGGCACGAAGCGCTCGCCAGAAATTTCACCACGACGCGGGAGTGGCAGGCGCCAGACACCAGGTCTGTCCAATTGCTCTCCGACGCGCGGGGGAATCCAGCTAGAGTGGCCGCGGTTCTTTTCATTGACGGGCGCATTGTCTTCACCGATGTCGCCCCGCCTGAGCCTCTGCTTCGGCTCTTCAGGGAAAGGCGCGACAATCAAATCGGCGGTCTGGAGGTGCTCAGCATCGCGCTGGGCCTGGCCACCTTTGAGCCGCTCCTGTCGGGCCGATGCGTGAACATCTTTTCGGATAATTCAGGCAGCGAGTGGGCCGTCCGGTCCGGTGCGGCGAAGCAGTTTGACCACAATTGCCTGGTCCACTCAATCTGGCGCATGGCGCTGGATGCGAATTGCAATCTGCACGTTCAGCGTGTGGCGTCGGTGGACAACATCGCCGACCTGCCGTCGCGCGAGTCATATTCCCTGCTGTATCGCTTGGGGGCGGAGTGGATTCCTCCGGTGCTGGACGATGCCTGGTTCGATCCGAGCGCGTGGCTTCCTCATCGCCGGCCATGACCGGCTCGGGCGCTGGGCGTGCGTGCAATGGATCTGGCCTTCACTCATCGGTCAGGGTGCGCCCGCCAGGTCGGGCAGGGGTTGGCGTCCTCCCTCGCGCACGTCGCGGTCGCGCTTCGCCTGTGGGCGCGCGAGGGCATCTCTGGTTTGTCGGCGCACCTGGAGAATGTCATCGGTGTTCGCGCGATGGCGCTGGCTGGATTGCTCGCTCAGCTTCGCGCGGTTTGCCCTGAGGCACGCCCTCTTCCTGTGTTCGCCGCTGCCGAGCTGCTTGCCGATAACGGCGCCGACGCCGTGAGCGATTTGGTTGGCGTCACCCTGGCAGACTTCAGGGGCGCCGCGGCATTATCTTGCGACGCCCGCGAGGTGGTCCGCGCGGCTATCGCGGCAGCCCAGCGCGGCGGCGCGCCAGCCGCGCTGGGCAGGGGCAGCGCGGGCGCTTCTCCTGCGCCCGCCCCGTCGCCCGGGATTGCCCCCAGGTCTGCTTGCGCGTTCCGCGTTCGTCGCGGGCCCCCCCCTTGTCGGCCGTCGCAGGACCGACATCGCGACGCGGTCGCCCTCGAGCGAATCCGTCTCGTCATCCTCCACGGTGCGCGCGCGAAATTGCGGCATGTCGCTCGCAGCGCTAAACGCGGGCGCCAGGACAGCGGCAGGGCGCATGCAGCTCCCCCGGAGGACCCCGTGTCCGCGGTCCGGTGGGCGCTCTCAGTCGCTGGGCGCGAGGGTCGGCGTGACATGCGCGGGCCGCGGGCCGAAGCTGCTCGGGCCAGAGCCCTCATCACCTCCTCGGCGGCCGGTAAAGCGTGGGCGCGCAGGGCCCGGGTGAGCGCTCTCCTGGGCGCATGCCCGCGCTCATTGCCCGCGCTCAGCAGCGGGTTCGAGTGCTGGGTTACATTCGCAAGGGGCGTCTTAAAGCGACGGGGGAAGGAACTGCCGCCCACCCTGGAGGGGCTGCTTCTGTGGTCCACGACCTTCAGGTGCGCCGGGACCTTCAGCAATTATGTGACTTACGTGAAGAAGGCGTGCCTCGTGGCATGCCGGCGCGCGCCCGCCTCTCATCTTCCGGCAACGCGCGCGTCCGCCCGCGGCGGCAGTTGGCGCGCAAGGCCCGTGGAAGTCTTCAGGCACCCGGCGGTTCGCGCCGCTAAGAACGCCATCGAGAAGCGTTCGGGCTGGCAGGCGAAGGCGCGCATGGCCCTTCAGGGCCGCGACGTCGCCCGTCTGGTGTCGCACCTGCGCGTCAGTGACGAGGGTCGCCGTTTCGCCATGTTGTGCCTGGCGGCCTACGCATTCCTCCTTCGGCTACCCTCGGAGGCCCTGCCCGCGGTGCGGGTTGAAGATGGCGCGGCCGCGGCTTGCGTGGCCTCCGCGTTCGTCGTCGGCGATCAAAAGATCGAGCTGCACCTCTCCAGGAGAAAGAACCGCGAGAGCCGCTCGGTGATGGCACGGCAGTGCTGGTGCGACGAGTGCGCGGTCACCTGTCCCGTACACGTTCTTGGGGCCTGGCTAGTTGGCGAGCCAGCTCATCAGCCCATCTGGGCTGCGTGGTCCCCAGGCGCGGCACGTGCTCGGCTGCGCCGCGCGCTGGGCGAAATGGGGCGCCACGACGCGGAATCATTCGGCACTCACGCGTTCAGGCGCGGGCACGCGCAGGACATCGCTGCCAGGGGCGGACCGGTCACCGACCTTCTTCGCGCGGGCGGCTGGCATCAGCCCGCGTGGATGAAATACCTTAACGTTTCCCGGCTCGAGCGGCAGTCGGTCGCGGAAGCCCATTTGGCAGAGTCGTCCAGCGACGATGGCGATGGCTGAGCACCCCGCGCAGTCTGGTGGTCGTGTCTGCACGGCACACACGTGGGCGCACCCCCGGCACGCGGGGGCAGTGGGTGGCAGCGCCGGGCGTGGCCCGCGGGAGCGCCGTTGCAGTGGGT